ATAAAAAATACTTTAATTAATTAATTATTTAATAATTTTATTTAAATATGATTACTTTAATTATATTAATAGATAAAACTGATTAAACATGAAATTTTTATAAAATTCTGTAAATTTAAAACTGATTAAATACAAAAAACCTCTAAAAACTAGATCATACGATTACAACCTATAACAAAAAAAACCTCTTAAAAATAACCAAATACTTCAAACATAGGGTTAGGGGTGTTAGTGGGGTGGTTTTTATACCGTTTTGGGTCAAATCGCAAACTATACTGTATATGTTTCAAACTGTATTGCAAAAAGTGGTGCGGTTTATGTGATTTGAACCTAATGCACTTCAATTCAGTAATTATAAAATCACGACTTCAAGATAAATTCGACGATAATGCTCCTATATTCTATACAATAAAAGCTTCTGATACGTATGCAACGTGTAATTAAAAAGATGTAATGCAACTAAATAGGTTGGTAATTAATCCAAATACATCTTAAAACTTAACTTAAAATAAATTTGCCCATAACGTTTGACAAAAGACAAAATGAAAATAATTCGAATATATAATTTGTAACGTAAAAACTCAAAAGAAAACTGAAAAGTTGATAAATAACCAGTAATGTACTGACCATTTTAATTTGATAAATGATTATATGCATGTATATATACATCTAAAAATGTATTAAAAAAATGCATTGTCGTCATGTCGTGCGGTTTGAACCGTGATTTAATGACTCAAAACCGCCAATCGTACCGTAAAGTGCAGTTTGATAAAATAAAAAAAAAACCGCACCCATTTAACGTTTTAAACCGCATTTTACCCGTACAGTATGCCATGTTTTTTCGTCGTTTTCTAAAATATTGCCCCAACTGGTTTGTGCGGTTTAGATGAATATCCGTATATAGGGTTATATTCATCATTTTACTAAAGTCAAGGACTTAATACAAAAACATTAGGTAAACAATAAAGGTCTATTTACCCAAATGCTTATCCGATAAGTGTTTACCGATACGAGTAACACTATAATTTATTTTGATGCGTAAGATTTTAATACATCAAAACGTATCGAATGTAACAATTTACCAGGTAAACACTTACATGAATAAGAATCGTCATCTTCATTTACCGGTAAGGTAAGACTCTCCGTCCTTCTCATCGCTCTTACCTAGCAAGATTCTTGGCCCTTGTCATGTTCATCCGATGAGGAAATTTATCCGGTAAGCACTTACCAAATAAACATTTAGTAAACGACCCCTAACTGTTAAAATATTTATTTAAATCAGACATCTTATTTCAGTCATTAGTTACCTATATTAAACCTCTTTTACACGTCATTTTACTAAAAGATGGTGTAAATTAAATCACAAGGCCATAAAATTCCAAGTTTGTAAAATAATTTACACAAAGCTTGACGATTTTGGGCCGTATAAATGTGGCCCAAACTTCTCTGAATTGGGCCGAGCTCGAATGCTTAATATCTTATCTATCTTATCTGCAAGCTTCGCACGTGACAAACTATAAAGTCGGCATTTCTCCGACCAAATTGGAGCTTGCTGAACGGTATTTTGAATTCCCAGCCACCGTAGAAGAAAATCCGATGGCTCGAGTAGCGTCAAACCCCGTCGGTCTCCATAAATTCCGGCCATCTCATCTTCATCCCGCCGTAGGATCTCTAAATTTCATTAATCCCTCCGTTCATTCCCTCAATAGAAGGCTCAGATATCAGAGGTTGTATTGTCAAACTGAATCTAACTCCACCGATTCTAACTCGGAGGTCTTCACTCTTTTATCTCCTTCATAAGCTTATGAATTAATTGTTGAATTAGTTTATTCCTTTTGAGTTCATCTTACATAAGTAGAGATCGCCCTCGATTTTGGATTCGAATGAGCAAATCAAATACGGTTTCGACAAAACTATGTTCTACGTTAATGATTGGTGTTCACAAACTTGTGTTAGTAAATACGAGAGAACATCAAATTATTTCATTGAATTAACATTTTAGAAGCGGATTGAACTACTGGCAGGAGCTAATAATTTAGGTTGAATAGATGCAAAATACTTCTAAGTTAATCTATGGAAGTTGTTTCAATTAGTTAGCGTACACGGTGTTGGTTGTCAACCTTAATTATTTGCAGGTTTAATGGCTTCCGATTAGGTGTAGTCAAATAATCAGGAGTAAAGGCATCTGCAATTTTCATCAATTTATCTAGGGTTTCCTTCATTCGTGCTTCCGCTGTCTGAAGAGACTGATTTCGCTCGTATGCAACATATTTGATTTTCCTGATTGATGCATTTAAATGCAGAAAAACTTGATTATAGAATCTGGTTCCGTTGAAGATAATAAGACCAGCGAAGTTACAAGTTCTCCAAGTGGTGGTGAACTTCCTGCGCTCCCAAACAAAAACATCAACCGCCGAATTGCAGTGGCTTCTGTTCTTGGAGCAGTAGGTCTCTTCTTATCAGGCCGACTTGATTTTGGTGTTTCTTTGAAGGACCTTTCTGCTGCAGCATTGCCTTACGAGGAGGTTACTTTTTCTCCCTAGCATTTGCTTTACTCTTTTCCACCGATTTATTCTCAAGTTTTAGGATGAACAAAGACCTAGACTTGAAATATTTCTTGTGTATGTTAGAACCTCCCTTCTCCCCCGATGGTTCTTTTGGGGGTAATCTAATGGGGTTTCGCATATTGTTACATGGTATCAGAGCGATATATAACACTCTAGGGACTTTACACACTAGGAAACCCTTACTCGTCTAGCGTTTGGGGGTAATCTAATGGAGTTCCACATACTGTTACATGGTATTAGAGCCAAGCTATAATGCTCTAGGGGGTTTACACACTCGTGTACTCGTCTACCCCCTCACCCGTCTAGCCTATCTTGACATTCTACATTCTATACCTGTCTAGTCTATGTTGGAGGCGGTGTGTCATATCCCTTCGACACTCTACGTTACATTTTGTGCCTGTCTTAGCTTATGTTGGAGGCGGCGTATCAGATCCCAACATCAACTCTGACCATTTCTCCTCAATATATGTTGGAACCTCCCTTCTTTATATATTGATTTGCAGTCATTTAACTTATTTATAGAAACCGAGGCTCTAGAGCTCTTTTGGAGAGTATTTTTAGAGAGGGGATGATTCAATCTTCAGATATTTGATTTGCAGAGACATTTAACTTATTTATAGAAACTGAGGAAGCTGTTCATGTTCACCATCATCATTCTTGCATGCTAATATCATTTAATATAATTACATACACAAACTCCTAGCCCTTATAACCAAGGGCGGACCTAGTAAGTAGCATACAGCGACATGTGCCACCACTTCATTGTCACGGCATGGTAGGAAAAAATTTATGATGTTTAAAGGTGCCATCATATTAATTAGATATGTGCCACCTTTTTGGTTAAATAAAACAAATGAAAGGTGCATAGCATTGTTAAGAATGTTTTTAGAGGAAGAGAAGGTCTCATGTTCAAGTCTGAGTAAAATTTGCAATGTTTTTTAATTATAAGTATGAGTGGCAATGAGTCAGGTTGGGTTGTGTTCGGTTCAATCCATTTATTAAACAGGTTGAAAATCTCAACCCAATCCAACCTATTTAATTAAATGGCTTGAGATTTTTCAACCCAACCCAACATGTTACCTAAATGGGTTGACAACATGTTGACCTGTTTATGATTTTCTCAACCCAACCTGTTAAATAAATGGGTTAAACTTGGGTTGACCTATTTAAATTTAAAATATTAAATAAAATAAAAAGGATTAGACTATTTAATTTTATGAACAAAACACACCCACAACCGCAAATACAAATAAATTCTTCAAAGTTTGAATAAAACACAGCCACAACAAATACATTGTTTAAAATAAATTGGAAAACTTTAATTTCTAAGTAACTCGACTTCCGCTTTCACCAACTCCAATTTCACTCTTGATATTACTTTCCTCTTGATCCTCTATCTTCTCTGTCATGATTGCTCCATATAGTGCCTCAAGATGCGATTCCGTTTATGCTACATAAATAAATAAATTAATTAACTTAGTTATAGCAAATACATGGTTTTATACAATAATACGAAATATACAAAGAAGAAGTTAGACAAACATTCTCCAGATACCCAATCTCTTAGACAAAAAAGGGAATGAAAAAAAAAACAATCAAAATCTATGTGTTGGAGGAGAGACTAGAACAACGACAAGACTGGAACAATGATTAGAAATCAGTGAACAATGAGAAAACTTACTAATTACTGTTTACGATTAAGATTGGAACAATGAGAAGAAATTAGTGGGTTCCACCGATTTCGTACAACCGCACCGATTGAAATATGTATGTTCCACGAGACGAGAGAGAGATGAGAGGGTGGAGACCGGAGAGGGAGACTGTTGCCTGTTGTGTTGGTCTTGGTCCGTTGGAGCCTTGGAGGCGAACGAGAGAGAGCCGAGAGGGAGACTTGGAGGAAGACAATTGGATTATTATTTTATTAGTGTTTCACAATTGACAAAACGAGAGGGTTTCAATGTTTCATAGATAATATTCGTATTATAATTATAAATAAAATAAAATTGTATCATATTTTAAATGGGTTGATAACAAGTTCTAAACGGGTTGAAAACAGGTCGGAAATTTCAACCCAATCTAACCCATTTATTTAAATGGGTTGGGCGGGTTGACCCATTAATTTAAATGGGTTGAAAATTTCAATTCAACCTGCTAATCTTGGGTTGGGTTCGAGTTAGGTTAGGAGATTGGGTTCGAGTCGGGTTAGCGGGCTGGTCACTTTCCCTAATTATAAATGCCTCTCCAACCCAATCCATAGCCTATCGATAAATTAGCCGGTCCAACCTAGTTTGCTTCCTTTTCTTTGTTTTATTTGGCAACTATAATTAGCTTTTATTTAATAATAGTTTTTATTTACTTTCAAATTCGATAAATATTTAGTGCCAATACTAAAAAAAAATTATGGGCCCGCGTCTAATATGACCTTTTATTGATTTGAAGCCCGAGAGTTTGTGTTTGTGTGTTAATGTGTTCCTCATTGGTATTGCATTGTGCTTTTGCTTATTGATAGGCCCTTTCAAACGGGAGGCCGACTGTCGTGGAGTTTTACGCAGACTGGTGCGAGGTATGTCGTGAATTAGCTCCAGATATTTACAAAGTTGAGCAACAATACAAGTAAATCTCCTTTTCTTTTCTCTTAATTATTAACTTTGCGCTTAGGGGATCATACCTTATTATTCCAATAATTATGAATCCAGGGATCGAGTAAATTTCGTTATGCTTAATGTCGACAACACGAAGTGGGAACAAGAACTAGATGAGTTTGGTGTCGAGGGTATTCCACATTTCGCGTTTTTGGATGGAAATGGTAACGAGGAAGGAAATGTTGTCGGCAAGCTTCCCAGAAAATACTTCTTGGAAAATATCGATGCCCTTGCTACTGGAAAACCGTCCATCCCACATGCCCGACTCGTTGGTCAGTTTTCTAGTGCGGAAGCCAGGAAAGTGCACCAAGTACCTGACCCAAGAAGCCATGGCTAACAAAGGTTATGCCTTGGGGATCCTCCCTATTGGTGGCCACTTTGCATTTCCTCAGAACTATTGGAGATTTTCCTGGTTGTAATCTTCAGGGCCCCATTACTCGAGGTGCATGCAAGCTGGTCCGGATCACCCACGGTTACCAAAAATGTAATGAAATAAAATTACTTGTATCAAACATCAAAATCACAGAAAAATGTAATGAAATCACAATTTCTTCTATTATGCTTTGTTCACTGATTCATTCCACAGCCTACTTGTTTCAGAATTGATTCATTTTTTTATGTCTTTATGCATCCATGAATTGTGGATATTCACAGGTGAATATGGAGCTGTTCAGTATTTCACCTAACAACATTTCCTAACAAGCTGTTGGTTGAAGGTGAACTCTGCTCACTTAACCATGGATCCTGCACACAAACAGGTGAACTATCTTTCTCCTCTTCTGTTTTCGATAAACAATCGGGTCTCAAATTAGGAACACCCAGCCTCCGGCTGCTAATTGCCGCCACTTTTTTCACTATAGTCCCACCTATCGATTTCTCACTGCCATTGAACGGTGATGAAGAAACCGATGCAACCGATGATGATGCCATGGTTACATTATCATCAATCGTGGTCCACCCACCAAGTCGAATCTGCTCCAACTCATCCGCCACTTCCGTCATTGACGGCCTCATGTCTCGGTGAAACGCCAAACACCTAAACGCCAGCTCAGCCACCTTGTGAATTGTCGAAAGTGTCCATGCATCTCGATTTGGATCCAAAAACGGATCGATTATATCGTCCACACACCCTTTCCCAATCCTGTCTATAGCGAGAGCTGCCAAGTTGATTTCGGTATGATGCCGTGAAAAATCCACCACTTTTAAAGCGGTGATCATCTCTATAAGAACCACTCCGAAGCTATAAACGTCACTTTTATCAGAAAGATGGAAGTTCTGATGATACTGCGGGTCGACATATCCCGGAGTTCCTTGTGGGGCCGTCGAGATGTGCGAGTCGTCCAACATCCCGAGTCGAGAAAGACCAAAATCTGCAACCTTGGAGGTAAAGTTGTAATCTAGAAGTATATTGCTAGACTTGATGTCTCTATGATAGATGGGTGGAGTCATAGCCGTGTGAAGATGAGCGATGGCTTGTGCGGTTTCTGCTGCGATCGTGAGTCTTACGGTCCACGGAAGTCCCTTCCCTCGTTCTCGTTGCAGATGCTGCGAAAGCGTTCCATTTGGCATGAATTCGTAAACGAGAATCTGCTCGCCTTTCTCAATGCAATATCCGAGAAGGCGGACGAGATTCGGATGGTTTACAGACGAAATGAGTTTGATCTCGTTCAATACTTGATCACCTCCATCCGTGTCTCTATGTCGTATCTTTTTAACCGCTACCCACTCGTTGTTGCCTAGCTTTCCAGCATAAACCGTGCCATAAGCTCCTACACCCAATCGTTGTTTCTCTGAGAAAGAATTCGTGGCCCGCTCGATTGCTCTGTAGTGGTAAAACGGGACACTGAAGCTACCCGTTGCTTCGGAGAATTGTCGTTTTGCATTCCGTTGGTTTTTCAAAGTGGCTCGTCTTCTAAGGCAATAGCAAACGAGTGCCACGGTCGACATCAGAGAAGCTCCGGCAACGATTCCTGAGAAGTAAATATGTTTGTATAATTAAGCATATCAAGTGTTCGGTGAAATGTCAGTGTACACGTTGTACGATGATTTCAGTGTTTCTAGTGGACACTATTCGTGAAGAAGCAATCCGGATCCATTACAACTTAAATATAGAAACTGGATGTAATGCAAAATATACCTCCGACGAGCACGCCTACTCGTGTCGTTCCACCGCATTTACCAGACATGTACCTCGAAGCGTCACAATTCGAGACTGTTATAAAAAACAAGTAGTTCAGTATCGAGGACATCCATATGAAAAACAATGATCCTCAAGTAATGACTAAGGATTGTGATTTACCCCGACCGATGGGAAAGCCCGGTTCACCCAACCCGAATGGGACTGGGGCTTCCCCGCTAAAACTCGGGGATCCCCGGTAGACTCAAACCTAAATTATTAGCTCCCAAAACAAAGCATCAACTGCCGGGGTTTGACCGGAGACAGGATGTTAATCCCGGTACCCGTAGGAGGCTGTTACTAAAAACTGGGGCCGGGGATGGGGATTACAAAACCCGCCTCATCCCCTGCCTAGTAATGATGTTTTATACCAATTTATTTGGCAACAAATAATTTTTGTTGGTAAGTTGGTAATGGTGTGATACCAATATCACAAACCTATAAAGTTGAATAGGTAAAGCAAATAAATAAATAAAAACTAAAAAGATAATCTGTGTTTAGTACTTTTGACAATCGATTTAGAGGTTTAAAAAGATAATCTGTGTTTAGTACTCTCGATGATTCAATGTGAAGAGTAATTAGAAATATTTGACGTTAAGTGTCTATAATAAGATAATGCATAATAGTATAATAAAGTCATAAGTAACTTAGTAAGCAATTGGTTGGTATGATATTAATTTATGGTAATCAAAAAATTTGTATCATTACCATGCCAACAATATATAATTGGCAGAATATTACCGATCAAATTTGTTGACTACTAATTTAATTGTTCATAGAAAATTATTGGCCAAACTTGTTAGCTACTAATTTAATTATTGGTAGATAACTACTAGTCAAACTTGTTAGCTACTAATTTAATTAATACTTTTTACGGAATGTTGATTGATTTGTTCTGGTACAAATTTAGCACATCTCAAATCATTAAATAATTGGAAATTTCACGGAAAACACGGCTTTTGATTTCCTAGAGCAAACGTGATAAAGATCGAAACAACAATATTTTTGTTCATGAATACAACTTGGATTTAGTATTTATAGAATAGAAAAGATAATCTATTTACTGTATCAAATCAAACCAAAACTAGCCGGTATATCTTATATAAAAGTGGAATCTAAAAAAAATAAAATACACACGTATATATGTTTTCTACTATAAAAAATAGAACAGTCCTAACATCTTGAACACAAAATAATGAGAACCCACAAATAAACACCCAAATTACTTGCAACCCACCACCATGAAAGACTTGTTAAAGAGTTCGATGTTTGATTGATACAAGATTTGGGGATTATATATTTGATAGAAGCCTACCACTAACATGGGTGGAGCCACATCAATTAAAAAATGGGTATTCTAAAAGCATCGTCTTAGTCCACCAAAATGGGCTACAAAGATAAAGAGTCAAAGTCAAAGGCCATTAAATCCTCAATCAAAAAGCCAAAGATGGAGGAATATGAATCCTTAATAATATTAAACAATATATGTCTTCAGATATAATTTAGCTAATAAAATAACGAAACATAGACTCAAATAAACAATGGGTTCAAGTCGTTTTCTAACCTTAGCTGTTCAATTAGTTCTAGAATGTCTACTTATATGTGATTATATATGAGAACGCTTGAATTATCGATTATCAACCTCCTACTCAAATATCAAACAACCCGTGCACATTGTTTTCTAATTCCTACTTGTTCTAAGATGACGACTTAAATCTTCAGACCAACCCACCACTAATCAAAATTGCTTTGTTGCCCTTAAATAAAGTCCACAATTATTAATTAATTGTACTAATTAATCAAGGGATTAGTTGATTTCTTACTCTTAATTCACTCTGACTTTTTGTCGATTAGGTATAACTATATATAAAATGGTTTATTTTTGTTCTTAAAATAATACACCATACGTGTCTAAAGAATGTATGTTATATACCCATCAATTTATATCAAAATCAATTCAAATCATGTATTAAAAGAGATAGAAAATTAATGGACAGACATTTAATGATATATGCATCTAAAATCAATCCGTTCTTGCTTCTTTAATCCACAAATCCATCAAGTATCTAAGGTTATGAGATCAAGATTGTTGTTAATTCGAAACCTAATGATTTTTGATCATTTATAGAAAATTTTGTTTTTGTTTAATGGTGATAATAAAGGAACTACTAACCTTGATGACAACCATTACCGTCGCGAAATCCATCGCCGTCGTACCCTTCATTACAATGGCAGCGATACCCTATCCTTGTGTTATCAATCGAGACATTCCGGCAAGCGGCGTTCCGATGGCATCCGCAATCGCCTTGCATCCACCAGCCTAACTGCACCGACTGAAAGTCTAACGACACCGGCGAGCTCTCTGGATTGGTTCCGTTCAAATCGACGGTGACGGAGGAGAATAAAATCTTACAACCGGCGGTTTCTAGTCGTGTCAAATTGAGGAACTCCTCCCGATCTGGATTGTCCTCCGAGTAACAATTCATGCTCCGGTTTGTCGATGAATTACACTGTTGTAAATTGAAATGATTCTCAACTCTGGTCGGCGACACCACACAATCGTTCAACGTCGAGCGACAGTTTTCTAATAGCAATCCGTTTCGGGAAGTGAGGGCGTAGTTTAAGCCACTGAAGAACCGGATTTCCTCGAATCCGCGGTCGCATTTCGCTGGCAAATTAACCAGTATGTGATCTCTGGTGAAATTGTGAACGTCGTATCCTCCAACTTGGATTTTTCCGTCCTCTGAACAATGAAGACCGATTTCACAATCACTGTTAAATCCAAACGGGAACTGAACCAGAGTTTCACGACCTCCACCGATGCAAACTCGTGTGCAGTTTGCTTTGGCGGATGACGACGGCGGCGATGTGATTATTAGAATCACGGAGAAGATGAGGAGATGAAAAATCATGTTTGAAATTGAATTGTGGCAGAATTTTTCACCGGAGAAGACTGAAATTAAGAGAGAGAAAACCTTTGACTTTGATAGGTCATTAAAGAGGTGTAGTTGAGAACTTCATGATTCCTTCATAAATGCTCACAGAAATGAAGAAATGAAATGATCTCTGGCCTGAATGTTAATTGCTGCTTCTCCGAGATATTGAAAGTTGCAGAGAGAGAGAGAGAGGTGCAATTAAGTAACGACGATTTGACTTTCGATGAAATAGAAATAGAATTGAGAAATTAGAAAACGGACGCCATTAACGAGCTGCAACTATTCTTCTTCCCATTGGCTGCTAGAAACGGAGGAGATAAGACCGTACGGCGGAGAGAGAGACTCCGGTGAGAGAGAGAGAGAGAGAGAAAGACTCCGGCGAGAGCTTTCCGTTTGTCTTTTGGCGGACGCCTTTTTTCTTTTGTGAAAAATGGAAAGGTGAAAGAAACCGAATAAATGACATGTGAAAGTTGGGTAAAGCTGGAGCCAAATTACTATTATGCCCTTTTGTTTTTAATTTGTCATGAAAAATAGATAAACAATTCAAATAAAAATCTATGAAGTTTTTTTTTAATTATATATTTAAATAAAAAACCATTGATTTTACATATTTTAATAAAATTATATGACTCTTAAAATATTGGTTTTATTATTTTAATAAAATTATATAATCATTTACTTTAATTAATTTAATTATAATAAATAAATTTAAGCAAAAAGTTAATTACCGACAATTCAACCGAACCTATACAAAATCCGCCTCCAAATACATAAACGTCATGGATTTTTTATGATCCGCTCAACTGTTGCAGCTACCGAGAAGAAAGAAAAACCCGAAACCTGTCTTCACTTAATCCCCGTAGATGAATTTATAAAGGTGTGATGATAAATCATTTTATTTGGATCCACAGCGGGAAAGAAGTACATGTACAGTTATATATACAATATCAGATATTAACAAAAACTTTACCAATTAAAATTTTATTCAAAATATATTGCATATATTTTAAACACCTAGTAATGCTTATTTCATACCAGATAAATGTTTGCCAATTGCCATAAAAAACATATACAAAAGTATAATTACTTATAAATTTTAATCAAGTAAATAACAATTTTACGTAAGTATTACATTGTTTTTAGTGGTAATTATGCTTTTTTTCTTATCAATTCTTAAAATTATTTACATAATTATTTGGACAAAAAGTTGATTACCAACAACCCAAACTGTTCCACACGGAATCCGCCAAGACATCGATGTAAATGGACATTTTTTGACTTACTCAGTGGCTGAGGCTGGCTGATGGCCTGGGATATACCCAGGACCAATCTTGTATTTGGAGGCATGTTCTGTGTGAGACCGGTTGAGGTTGTCGATAATCAACTTTTTGTTCAAATATTTTTGTTATCATTAAAGATAGTATTGAAATTTTAATAAATTGTAATTAAAATTGCACTCTTATTTTATGGACATATATCATAAATGAATAAAATAATAATTTTGTTTATCTATAAATTTAAAACTAATATTTACATTATATTAAAAAACATGTAATATTAAGAAAAACTTTTCATACGGGCAGGGGCAAAATTGGAAGAAGGAAATCGCTGTTGACCGGGCAAAGTGGGCCGCTAACGGTTCACACCACCGTGATGACCGTTTTTATGTTGAATATTTAACACAATATTTTCATTTTACTACCCTTTACTTATACCAAATGTAAAAATGACCCAAATTTTACATTTTTAGGGTGGATGGAACTTAAAACTTTGTATTTTGATATTGAGTTGTTAAATAATCATATGAATGTTTTATTACAAAAATTTAATTCATATCTTACAGAATACAAAAATTACAATCTGTTACGAGATACATTGAATTGTCCTGAATTTCTGATGAAATACGGTAGACCAGATCCAAAATACGAACCGATTTATATAAGGTGGACGTTTTTTTGGGTCTTCGAAATTGGCAGACTATGATGAAATCAGTGCAAAGGTTGATAGGCTCGAACCCTTGATTGTGCCTCTTTTGGTATGGATGTATATGAGATATATATTTTATACAACAAACAAACTTAGTTAGATCATTGTGTTTGGGACTTGGGATCATGTGAGACCAAGGGTTTTTCTTGAGACATGTAAGATCAATTCTCAACCTTTGGATTAGATCTATAATCTAAACATTCATAATCACAAATTACCACGAGACTTCTCAATAATCACAAAATTGTCACCGTACAACTTTAGACCATTAGATCATTAGCTTATAAAGTTGATCAATGAACATAAATTGGTCTCACAAAAAACCCTGTGTTTGATTTTAGATTAAATACATAAAATTCAAACGATACTGGTTACTAGTTTAGAGATCCCATATGGACCAGACTTTAATCTGCCATGTGTTCATTATTATTTCAAGATTGATCCTGTGCTAGAGTATTCCAAACCCTTCGAAATCGTTATGTGTATATTCATACCCACTATCTATAAAACAACACATCTTTTATATATATATATATATATATATATATATATGTATATATATATATAATGATATAAGATAAAATTTCCACAAAATGATGATGTATAGAAGAAACGTGAATAAATAATTAAACGTTATTAAATCATTTGTAATAAATGGTGACTATAAGTTTTACGCGTCACTCTTTTGACCAAACTTCGACATGGGATTTAAGAATCTTGAAATAACTAATTATGTCTAATTAAATTGTATGTTTGACAATTATTTGAGACGCATATGATATTCAGTCGTGGAGCTTTTTAAACCCTAAACCAGTTAATCTCGCATTTATGTATTTTGCAGGTTTTGTTTTAACATTTCTTATATCATATACGAGCATAATCACATCTTTGTTTCTTTTGTGAATATGATTATCAAATAATTGGAATAAACAGACGTTTATGTTGCATCCATGTAGAATTCATTCTTTTTTCATGGCGAACTTTAATATATTGAAAATGTGTTGATTTTTTGTGGTCAACCTAAGTATTCTACAGAAAAACCTGAGGGGTGGCTAATTTGACAAAAGTTGGCTAACGGGTTTAACTCCAATACAATCTGTTAAATTTGAATCAATAAAAATCACGGGACCATATTACAAAGTATTCCATAAATAAGGACTTGTAGAAAGCTTCAAGTTCATATTCACAGCTTATATGGAACATATGTCACAAGAATCTTCGCTGAAACTTTTTGCAGCTTATATGACTTCTATTCAGATACAATTTGTAAACGTCTCAAGCCAAAAGAACATATTAACTAAACAATCTTCAAATCAACTTAAAACAATGATATAAAAGTATTAAGTAATCCAAAAACGAAGCTTTGTAGCTACACATTGATGTTTAACAGATATCACAAGATTGAAACTTCTAGCATCAATGAACAAAGGTTACGGGTTTGAAATAGGGCGGGTTTAAGGGGCTGTTTGACAGTTGCTGAATGGTTTGGTGCAGAATGATTAAGTGGCCGTTTACCTAAAGACGTACCTGGTAAGCGCTTATTGGTAAAATTCAACACTATCGTTTACTTATCGGGTAAGATTTTATTCACTAAAACACATCGTATGCAACAATTTATCATGGTAAGTGCTAACCATGGTAAGAGTCCTTGTTCTCACTTACCGGGTAAAACTATTGATTCTTGTCTTCGCTCTTACCAGGTAAGATTATTAGACCTTGTCATACTCATTCGGTAAAGTAAAGTGACTTGGTAAGCGCTTATCCAGGTAAGCGTTTGGTAAACAGCACCTAAATAGCCAGAATAATTAAGAGACTCATGATATAGTGTAAAATAAAATATAATTGTTTGGTAATTGTTTACAATGAGATTAATGTACTGAATGGTTAAGGGAGACCCATGGTACAAAATCATTCAGGGGCTTTAAAAACATTAACAGACAAACTTTTTTTTATCAAACAAGATTCACCTTTAACAATTCAGATGTTGTCTTTTAATGAAAATATTAAAAGGTAAATAAACAACCCCTAAATAAATCTCGTACAAATTATATTTTATACATGTTAAAATCAAATTATTCTTTTATATTTTTAATATATTAATTTGACCTAAAAACTGTTTGTTAGCAACACTATTAAGAAAGAAAATAGTGCATTAAGCCAAAATTATTGAACGTCTTTTTCCATATTTTTAACGTGGAAATTTGTTTTTTTATGTGAAATTTCCACACAAAAGTCAATCTTTTATTGGTATGTTTATTCCTTATAAAGACAAATTCAATAATATATATAGGGTTTGGATTCCGGTGAGAAGAGAAGTTATAGTGAGAAGCGTAAGAAGAGATTTTCACTCTTGAATTAATCATAATTAAATGACAACACTAACGAGATGCACCATATCAATTCTTTTCTAAAGCACAATTCATGGATGTGGAAGAGATTAAAAGTGATCAATGTGTTTAGATTTCTTCTTACGCTTCTCATCATAACTTTCATTCTCACAAGATC